CGGAGGTGCTAGTCGGTGAGAAACGTCCAACTCCTGTCGAGAAAGTGGAAAATATTGGGCACAACCTGATTTCAAATTACCAGAGCTGGAGCTCAAGCCTGCGCCGCAGGAAGCGGCCTCCGCAGCAGCGGAGGCTGCGCAGGGCGAGGCGCCCGTAGGTCCGCAGCTCGACGGGGCGGCCCCCGCAGCAGCGGCGCCTGCACAGGGCGAGGCCGACCAGGCAGAGAATCCGTACCAGTTTAAGTTCGGAGGTACCGAGTCCTTGCACTTCTTTTGAGGAGTCGAGAGGATGTCACCAGAAGAACTTGCCCGAGCCCAGCTAGTGCAGGGACAGGAGCACTGGAAGTTCAACGTTGCACTTCGACCACACGAGTTCCAGACAATGACAACGTGCCAACCAGCCGCCCCTCTCCGCGTCTGCAGCGTGCTTGTCCCGTGCATGCACAAAACGGTGCCGCTGGTGCGCGGAGATCGGCTGATGCTGCAGATCACAAGGGAGAAGAGGGCCACCGACACCCAAAAGGAGAAGCAGGCATGGCAAAAGGAGCAGAAAGATCAGGAGAAGAAACGGAAGAAGGACGCCGAGGAGGGACGGAAAGCCCCCAAGAGCGGTAAGATGACAATCCCTGGCCAGGGGGCCCACTTCGTGCGATCCCGCCGCAGCAGCGGAGGGCGCGCGAAACAGGGCGGCAGATGACGGCAGCTGATGATCCACCCGTCGCAGCCCGCAGCCGTCAGCTGGAGGGGAAGAGGAAAAGGGCGGGGAGAGGAGGTCGAAGAGGGAGGGGGGGGGGTGGCAGCAGAAACAGCACAGGACAGGGATGGGAGAGGTCACGCATCCGCCGCAATAGTGGCGGTGGTACGACAGTTCTCATGGCGGCGCGGCGGTCGCTGAGAAATGGAGCAAGTGCGAGGGCCTGCGCGCGCTTAATTATGAGTGCCTCTCGTCCCCTCCCCTCCTCTTCCTCCATGAGATCTCTCTCCTGGTGCATATCCCCTGCCAGGTATCGTCCTGCTCCTCTCCCTCTGTGTTCGTCCTGCCCTCCCCTCACGCCTTGCCTCCGTCTCCGTCCCCCCATCGTCCGTTCCTGCCTCCCTCCCGTGTCCTGTTTTCCTGTCTCCGTTCTCATCGCCCTGCTCATCGTCCTGCCGTCCTGTTCGCGGGACCCCCTGCGGGACAGAGGGGCGGTCAAAGCGCGCAAGGCTCCCCCCCTCTGTGACAGAGGGGCGGTGCGCCGATCAGGACGCCCCCCCCCTCTGCGACAGAGGGGCGGTGCGCCGATCAGGACGCCCCCCCTCTGTGACAGAGGGGCGGTGCGCCGATCAGGACGCCCCCCCTCTGTGACAGAGGGGTGGTGCGCGGATCAGGAGGCCCCCCCCCCTCTGTGACAGAGGGGTGGTCGTTCGATCAGGACGCCCCCCCCCCTGCGGGGCAGAGGGTCGGTCAGAGCACGCAAGGCCCCCCCTCAAGGGACAGAGGGGCGGTCAAGGGACAGGGAGGGCAGCTGTGCTCGTTCGGGAGAGAAGGAAGGGGGGGGGTTGGATGAGATGGAAGGATGCTCGAGGAGGGAGCATGATGCTGATGAGGAGTAGGAGGATCTGTTCGAGACGAGGAGTCCGCTTTCCATAGCCGTTTTCAGGCGGATCACCTGTGAGGGGAGCAGACACCTAGGACGCGGGCGCCTTCGCAGCAGCGAGGGCTTGCGCGCGGCGGCATGAAACGCACGGCAGAGGAAACATGGCGGGAGGTCGTTGTCGGGAAAGCAGCGCGCCAAGATGGCACGAGCATGGGGGTGCTCTGCGCGACGGGTGGGCTGTGCCGAAGTCACGAGGGGGCAGCGGGATTTGCCGAGGAATGCGAGGAGCGCTGTGTTTTCTTGGGCGGCGAGGAAAGCCTAGAAACCTTCGTGCCCGTCGGAAAGCACCGCCTGTGGATGCTCAAGGTGGTCGGTGGTCACAGTGCCGTGAAGGGCGCCTTGAACGAAACAAACATGTTAGAGCAATTGGTTGGGAAGCTTCGCGCCGGAGAAGGATACAACGCGGATGAAGCGGCGACTCCTGTGAAAGAGGCCCCCGCAGCAGCGGGGGTTGCAGCGGGAGCTTCCGCAGCAGCGGGAGAAAAAGGTCGGGATCCCATGGCGGATCTCCTCGGCACCGTCAAGGTCGCATCGAAAGCGAAGAAAACCCCTGAGAAACAGAAGGGATTTTCTCGGGGCGCGCTCTGCAGAGTAACCATGCCGATGTCTCCTAAGCCAGATGAGGCCGACACGAAAGAGGTTAGTGTGTATGAGAACAAGTATGGGCAACTACTCGTTCAGAGTCAGGACCTGCCTTAGCTTCTGCATTACCTGTACGAGGAGAGCCGGGGCAAAAGCGTTCCCGAACCCAACGACGACGACGAGGACGACGCTTTGGACGAGAAGCGCCCGTGGACCACCAGGTGGTGCCCCTCTGGGATGTGGACGCTGGAGGTCAAAGGAGGGCCAATGGCAGGCCGAACATGGGCCTCCAGGATTCAGGATCTGAACGAGGAGAAATGGTCCACAGGCGTGGCGTTGACGGAAGTGACGACGCCCTTGAAACAGTCCACCCGTGCGCAGCAGAAGCAGGTTCTTCTAGCGTTCTTGGAGGGCGTGGTCCAGAAAGCCATCAAGCAGGAAACAGAGAAGTGATGTCCTCGTTATCCGCTCGCTGGCGCGCGCCGCAGCAGCGGCGCGCTGACCGCTGCAACGGCTTGTTTTATGCAGACAGACTCGGTGTTTGCACCGTAGCAGCGGCGCGCTGACCACTGAGGTGGATGCCTGCGGGTTCCTGTCGACTGGACAGGGGTTAGGGCGCGCGCGGGGGATCGCGAGCCTGCGGCTCTCCAGCGCTCGCGCGCTAGAGGACAAAAGGAACTCGCGGAATCTGGCGAGGACGGGGCGGAGGGGTTGGGACCAGTAGGAGGGGGAGGGGGAGGGGGAGGAGGAGGAGGAGGAGGAGGAGGAGGAGGAGAAGGAGGAGCAACAGCAGCAGCAGCAGCACCCGCAGCAGCACCGACAGGAGGATCATTGCGAGGATGCGGCCGTTTGCTTGTCCTGCGGCGCTGGGCTCGAGACAAGAGGGCGGCCGCGTGCGCGCGCGCGCGAGTGCTCATGAATCCACGGAAACTAAAGAGGCCAATATTCGGATTCGGGTAATTACGTTATGCGCCGCAGCAGCGGCGCGGCTTGCCATTATGAATCTGGCAAACGCATATGGCAGAATATTCATTTATGCTCGCAGTGGCCGTGTCCCAGCGACCACCGTCTGGCGGGCGGTTCTGTGGACCACAAGAAGTGGTTAGGTTTTGGAGTCCGATGAGGAGTAGGAGGATTTGTTCGAGACGAGGAGTCCGCTTTCCATAGCCGTTTTCAGGCGGATCACCAGTGAGGGGAGCTGACACCTAGAACGCGGGCGCCTTCGCAGCAGCGAGGGCTTGCGCGCGGCGGCATGAAACGCAAGGCAGAGGAAACATGGCGGGATGTCGTTGTCGGGAAAGCAGCGCGCCAAGATGGCACGAGCATGGGGGTGCTCTGCGCGACGGGCGGGCTGTGCCGAAGTCGCGAGGGAGCAGCGGGATTTGCTCTGGAATGGGAGGGGCGCTATGTTTCCTTTGGCGGCGAGGAAAGCCTAGAAGCCTTCGTGCCCGTCGGAAAGCACCGCCTGTGCATGCTCAAGGTGGTCGGCGGTCTCAGTGCCGTGAAGGGCGCCTTGAACGAAACGACAATGTTAGAGCAAGTGCTTGGGAAGCTTCGCGCCGGAGAAGGAGACAACGTGGATGAAGCGTCGACTCCTGTGAAAAACGCCCCCGCAGCAGCGGGGGCTGCAGCAGGAGCTTCCGCAGCAGCGGGAGAAAAAGGTCGGGATCCCATGGCGGATCTCCTCGGAACCGCGAAGGGCGCATCGAAAGCGAAGAAGGTGGCGGCGCGTCGCCAACCGGAGAAAACCCCTGAGAAACAGAAAATATTTTCTCGAGGCACGCTCTGCCTCTCGCTCCGTGCGGTCGTCTTGGCTGCTGGCAGCTGGGCGGCTCTGGGCGGCGTCGGGCCTCCGCTGACCGATTACATGATGCATATATGTATATATTGTGTATGTATGGTGTGTCGACGTATATGTATGCATATATATCTATATATGTATAGATGAATATGTATATATATATATATAACACGGACGCAGTTGAGAGTCGATGGGGGGAGGGGGCGCGGCCCGCGGCCCAGGGCGGGGCCCGAGACTCTGGGACAGGACACAGGGCCTCATCATCGTAGGATGCTCATCATTTTTTTCATCGCTATGATGGTGGGGGAGGAGGGGGCAGCTACCAGCTGCGCGTTGGCGCCACCGCCGCTCCCCCGCGCCCGCTGGCGCACCCGCAGCGCGGCTGCGGGAGGGGCTGCGCCTCAATTCCTGCAGAGGCGGCCTGCAGGAACGTTGCACTTTTGGCGTCTTGTACAAACGCCCGAGCGGCCCGCTTTTTTTTTGGGGGGGGCTGTTGGTTCACGGTGGAAGAGGAGACCATCATCATCCCCCGTGCCGCGTTCGCCTTCCCTCGACCACGATGTCGACGACTTCCCACATTCTGGCCTTGTTTTCTGGGGGGTGTTCTCGGAGTCGTTCGGGCCGTTCGTTCGTGTGTGCACTCCCACTGTCGGACCTATGGCGACGCGGAGGCCGTGCCGGACCTGGCCTTCCTGCTCTATGATATGGCAACCGCGCAGCGCATCTCCGCCAGCCTTGCCATCGCGGAGCGCCAGGGCATCACGCCCGATGCCGTCGCTGACAATAGCTCGACGTCCGAGAGCTATTGGCGTCACGAGCAGGATCTTTCGATCACGACGACGAGCTAGACGACGGGTGACGACGACGACGACGACGACGACGACGACGACGGTGTCGACGTCGACGATCACGATGATTTGCAGCAGGACATCTTATGTGACGTCGTTCGCCAGCACGCTCTGTTGCGTGGGGTGGCGAAGGCCTTCCCCAACCTGTTCATCACCATCGCTCCGGCGGAGTGGAAGGTGCTTCTGCACGAGCCTCTATTTGCCGACTGGAAGGCCGCGGATCGCTTGTCGGCGTGCCAGGGGTTGTTGGCAGAGCACATCTATGAGCTGCTCTATGATGGCATGCAGCAGATTCTCCGCCCGAACGATTTCTTAGAGCAGGTCTCAGACTATGTCATTCGCCTGGAGTTCCAGGGCCGCAAGACTGAACACATCCATATTGCGGCCTGGGTGGTCCCCAAAGGCCGTTTATCTGGTCGTAGCGGCCAGGCGGACCGGTCCGCCTTCGTCATGCTCCTGGAGGAGGTGTTCCGCGGCTCCGTGGACGTGCAGGAGGGCTATGGGTTTTTGAACTATATCAACGGCCACGTCGTGAAGGCCAATCAGTCAATGGATTTTCAGCCCGACGCGGCTCGAAGCGCCGGAGATCAACACTCGGCGTGGCGTACGACCTATCGCATGCTGTGCAAGCTGGCGCCGGGTCTCCCGGAGGTCTATCTGGATTTCGCGGGTGCCAAACCCATGTTTCGCACGTTCGGCGTCGACAACGCGTGCGCTATCATTCCCGCCGCGGATGAAAAGGACAAGCCCATCAACGACACCAAGCGTCTGCATAGATTATATCTCAAGCGGGCTTGTGCTGGGAATGAATCGAGGCCGTGCGGCAGCTTTCTCAGCTACCTCCGCGTCTACAAATTTGCGGATGGGGACCACAACAGGGTCATCCAGCGCAGAGGACGCGGTGATGACTCCCGCGTGGCGGCGCAGAGGACGCGGTGATGACTCCCGCGTGGCGGTGGGCGTCCGGTATGCATTTGAGATGCAGGGCAATTTCATCGGCCAGTTCTGCAGTATGATGTTCCCGCACGTGGCCCACGGCACTTTTGTTCCTCCATCAGATAGTGATTCCGAGGTCATCCCCTTCACGAAGCACTATCTCAAGGCTGTGACGTATCTGCGGCACCTCGTGTGCCTGAAGGGCACGCGTCCTGCGCGCGAGCAGTCTATCCGCCTGCAGGTGCAGGCCATGCTGCCGCGGGAGGCCGGGGAGGCAGAAGAAGTTTATGAGGAACGCGTTCGGGACAAGATGCAGGGTACTTCTTGGGTAGGCTTCGCCACGGAGGCCAATCGCATCGCCGAACTGTGCGACGCTTCCGTGGAGTCTATAGCTCATCGTCTTCATGAGTATAGCTGGGAGCCCTTCGACAGTTGGCCCTGGCTCCCACCGCCTGCCTCCGTCTCCGAGGGCGCTTCCATCCGCCCGGCAGATCAACTGTTCCATCCTCTGAGATGTGCTGACGTCACTCAGGGCGCTTATGGTGAGCCTCTCCACTGCGTGGACGCGGCGCTTCATTATCTCGAGGAAGTGATTGCTGCGGATCTGCACATCCGCGTGTCTCTCGGGCGTCATTGTTCGTTCCGGGCGCGACTCCATGCCGTGCGCGTCTACTATAACCACATGCAGTTCTGCTTTGACAATCCCGAGGCTATCCCGCCGGACGTTTGCCGCAGGGCTGACTTGTCGCTGGACATGCAGGGCCGATACTACGACCAGTATAAGAAGGAGTGGAGGAGATGTCAGGCGCATGCGCGGCCTCGCATCACATGGTCTGCAGACCAGCAGGAGGTGCTGAAAGTGGTAGACGGCGTGCTCTCCCGAGCCGACGCTAACATCGCGCAGCAACAGTTCTACTACGTGAACGGGGAGCCAGGCAGCGGCAAGGCGGAGGTCCTTTGCGAGGCTGCCCGCCGGGCCGCGGACGCTGGTCTCCACGTCTTGATTCTCGGTCCCACGGGCACTCTGGTGCACACCTATAAGACCAAGGTTCAACACGACAACATCAACGTGGAGACCATACATGCCGCGTGGCACATCTATCGCAGGGCCGACACTGTTGTGGACTATGCGCCGCCGTCGCGCTTGCGCACCTATGACCTATTCATCATCGACGAGGCGTCGCAGATCGAGGACGACGTGGCCGTCCGCTTGCACAACGGCTTCAGGGAGTTGCCGCAGCGGCCCACCATCTTCTTTGCTGCGGACTTCCAGCAGCTGAATCCGCTCGGTAGTTCGTCGGCTATGCGCACGTGGATCACTGTCATGACCACTATTTCGCCGTTCACTATACATAGGACAGATGATGATCGTTTATTATCTTTCCTGCGAAATGTCCGGGTGAAGCAGCCGATCAAGGCAGTTATTCGGGCCTTCTTCGCTGGGCGTACCTGGGACTCTATCAGCTTGGAGCAGGCCGTGCGGAGGGGCATGCATCTCGGCGCTATGCTCGACGAGCCCTTCCACTGGCTCACCGTTACCAACGAGGGGGCGGAGGCTGTGAATCTTGCGTGTCTGTCGGCGTGCGGCTACGACAAGCCTGAGAACTTATCGCCGCTAACCGGCGACCTCAAGGTGCTATACCTCGAATGGGTTGTCGGGGGATGGCCTGGGCATTTCGCGGCATGCCCGTGTATCGGCCATGCATCTGGCTGTCTATCCTTCATGGAATGATAACTGCTGTCTCGTCGCTGATGCATCGGTGTGCTTCGTTTTTGTGCACTGGGCCGTCCTGCCGGACACTCGGGGGAGGCTATTCTAGGTATCTCGCCCGCAGCGTCTGTTTATCGCGCCTGGTGTCATTGTTCGGCTCACGCGGAACCTTGACAAGGAGCGGGGCTTCGTGAACGGCGCCACCGGCATTATCGATGTTGTACTGGAGAATAAGTCTACCTTTACGGTGACGCTCACGGGCACCAAGCACCGTATCCTTGTGCATCGTATCACAGACGGCGGTGAGCTCTTCCTGCCGTGCACCTACGGCTATGCCACTACCATTCGCAGGGCTCAGGGATCTTCCCTCGGGCTTGGTGCGCTGTATTTCGATCATTGCTATCCCCCCGAACGGGGTTATGGCTACGTGGGTGCCAGCCGTTTCAGACTGGCTGAGCGTATCTATCATTTTGGGTGCATCCGGCGAACGGACTGGCTTCCAGTCAGCATGAAGCGAGATGATCCGGATGAGCAGACTATGAGGCCCGCTCAGAGCGACTCTGATGACGAGTACGGGCCTATGCCAGATGACAGCGATACGTGTTCCGAGGATGGCAGTGGATCTGAGTATCCTTCCTCTGAAGAGGATGTTGATGCCCGGTGCGCTGTCCTCGAGCAGATGGCTGCGTTTCCTCAGACCCTGGCTGCCAGTGCTGGCGAGTCTGATGTTGTTATGTTTTCGGCGACGTGATGGCCTACGATACATCTGTCTCGGTGCGCTGGCGCGCGGTGACGCGGTGCGTATCGGGTATAAAATGACTCATTCTTGTCACGTTGCTATTCAATGCTAACCCAGGGGGCCGGAAACCCTTAAAAGTTAGTGCTGGCACTAAGAAATAAGGGCGGCACTAATTTTAAGGTTTTCGGCGTCCTAGTGTTTATTTTAAAGACTTGGTGCTTATTTCATACAACGTCCAATTGCGGACGATCAACACCGCCCGCGGCGTCGCTCCACGCTGCAATGTGCTTCTTTGATCACGGCCTTTTCACGGCCGTTTTGACGCCCATGTATAATTGGGCGCGGGCACATGTGCGCATATGCGAACAAAAAAACTCCTCCTCCTCCTCCTCCTCCTCCTCCTCCTCCTTCTCCTCCTCCTCCTTCCTCTCTTCCTCCTTCTCCTCCCCGTCTTCCTTTCCTTTTCCTCTCCTTCTCTCTTCCTCTTCCTCCTCCTCCTCTTCCTCCTCCTCCTCCTCCTGTTTTCCCTCTCCTCCCGCTCCTCCTCCTTTTTCCTCAGTTTCTCCCTCCTCCTCCTTCCTCTCTTCCTCCTCCTTCTCTTCCTTTAAGCTAGAGCAGGCGGGGGGCAACGGCCCATCCAGAGTGCCGGGCGCGCAGCGCAATGAATACAGCAAGCCCAAGTTAAGCGACGTTCGTGATGGCAGTGACGATGACCAACGACGGCGGCAATGATGGTGTCGGTGCACCATGGTTTCGCTCCCATTCCCTAGGGCGGACGTCGGCAGGTCTGGGCCTCGAAACCTCCCCTCGGAGGTATAGCGCCTTCCGCGGGCTCTCCAGGAAAGAGGGGGAGAGAGAGAGAGGGAGAAGGAGGAAGGCGAGGAGGCCAGGGGGAGGAGGAGCAGGAGGGAGCAGTAAAGAGGAGGAAGGAGGAGGGAGAAGGAGCAGGAGGGAGGAGGAAGGAGGAACAGGAGGGAGGAAGGGAAAGGAGAAAGCAGGACGCCACTGAGGGGCATTGAGAAGGAAGAGGAGGGCGCAACGAACATCTCAGGGGGAAGGTCATAGCATAATGAGCGAAGTAGGGAAAGAGGGGGGGGGGGGATGAGGAGGGCGAAATGGAGGATGACGAGGCGGAGGAAGGGGTGGAGGAGCAGGACGATAATAAGGAATACCAGGAGGAAAATCAGGGGGAGCAAGGCAGGGCGCGAGAAGGCACGGAAAGGAAGATCGGAGGAGCACGAAAGCATCGCAAAGGGAATAACCAAAGGGAGGGATGAGGAGGAAGAGAAGGACCAGGACGGCAGGAAGAGAAGGGGGAGTGAGATGAGGAGAAGGAGGAATGAGGAGGAGAGGGAGGAGGCATAGGAGGAGGGAGGAGGAAGAGGAGGAGAACGAGTAGGACACGGACACATCGCGCCCATAGGCAACTATGGGCTGAGCGCGGCCAGTTCCTGAGCAGGAGTTCGCTTCAGAGCAAACGGTTTCTCTGGCTTAGGCCTCCGACGAATCAGCTTTCTGGGTCCGAGGTCCCACGGGCAAAATCTGCACCTCACACTCATGAGCAGCAATGGCGCATGCATGCGCCATTGCTGCTCAGAAACCGCCATCATCTTCTTGGCATAGGCCTCCTTCTGCCGCCTTTCCTATGGGTATTCGGTTGCCCCTTCCCCCCCCCAGGGGGGCAGAGAGGAGGGGGAGGCGGAAGAGGAGGATGACACGAGGAGGAGGAGGAGGAGGAGGAGGAGGAGGAGGAGGAGGGTGTCGTTCTCAAGTTCGGAAGTCCTTCATCTCCCTCATCTCAGCCGCCTCAGCTTGTTTCTGGAAGAAGTACTCGGGACTCGTTTTGCGGTACCCCGCGAGAGCTTCAGGAGTCAAGTAGGATTGCTGTCTCCGGGAAAGCTTATACCCCACAAAAGAAAAAAGAAACGAAAAAAAAAAAAAAAAAAAAAAAAAAAAAAAAAAAAAAAATAGAAATTATAAACAACAAATAGAAAAAGAATAATAAAAAAAAAATAAAAAGAAAAAAAAAAAAAAAAATAAAAAAAAATACAATAAAAAACAACAAAACAAATAATAAAAAAAAGCATAAGAATAAAAAAAAGAAAAAAAAACCAAAACAATTTGTGTCATTCTAGTTTAGAAGCTTATACCCCTCGAGTCGCTCTGTCGGAGTGTCGGAGTCGGAGTCGGAGTCGGATTCGGCGGAGTCGGATTTGTCCGCGCTGTGGCTCTCACTCTCCTCGCTCGTCGGGAGCGCTTTCTCGTCCATAATCCGACCTATTGTGGCCTCGTCAGATGGTTCGCTCCACGGCCAGTCGCTCTCTTTGTCCGATTCTGTCTCGCAGTCGTCGCACTCTTCAGCATCATTTTCCGGATCGATCTCACCGATCTCGTCGTCAGCATCATTTGTTCGTCTCGATCTCACCGAACTCGCCAGCATTGCCCTTGTCGGGGTCCAGTTTAGGAGCCAGCTGTGGGGTCCCAAGGGCCAAACATTGTGAATGAACTGGGGAATTTTCGGCGTTTCACCTCGGACATCGCGGCTGCAGTGAGATCGCAAGAGTTGGGGAGGGTCGGTCGGCCGGCAAGGGGGTCTGTGAGCCAGCGTAGGGAATCCAACAGCTGAGGCCCTAAGGGCCCCTTCGGGGAATCCAGGGGACCATCCATGGGGCCCTGTGTTAGCCATCCATGGGGTGCATTTTCTATTATCTTCGATCCCCGTCTTGATTTAGAGGACCGCCATCAACGACCGACCGAGAGAGCGGGGGGAGAGAAGGGGGCCGAAGGGCTGGCAACAGGGGGAGAACTAGGAAAGGGAAGAAGCGACGGGTCATCGTCAGTCAACGAGTTGTACTCGCCCCTCGGGCGACGGCTGGTGCAGACGTCACGCTGCTCGCGCACATGCTGCACACATAAATATACAGCAGTTTTTTTGGAAGGCTACGCCATTCCGCCGAGCGGGTCTAGATTCATCCTTTTCCCCTGGCCGTCCTCCTCTCCCTTATCGAGATCCTTATGTCCTTCCCCCATGCATATCGTCCAGCGCTCAGCGAGGCAGGAGAAAACCTGACCTCATCAAACGAACTCGAGAAGCCGATACTTCTCCATTAAAGTTTGTTGCACGGTCCTAGGGTGCATGCTGTGGGATCCCCGCACGGCCATTCCGATCTCGTGCTCATCCATGTAGCACCAGTGATCAGCTGGGTTCCCAGATACAGCTATCTGGTGCTCACACACGTGTATGAATTGATGGTGCTTAGGATAGATACGATAAAATATCCAGCTGGGGGATTCGACGGGGCGCAACGCAGTGTACAAGATGCAATGCTTTCGGGCTGCCTCTGCAATTTTGATTCTGCTTCCTGGTCCCCATGCAACCATTTCTTTATATACAGTGTGCAACTCCAGGAGGCAATTCATTCTGGTCTGCTTATAGGGGGAATCCGTGCCGAATAGTTCTGCCACTCGTACCGTAACAGGAAGCATATAGCGACATTCAGCCGCTTTCAGCTTAAACTTGGGAGACTTGCTTTCGACTCGAATCATCGTCATCGTTAAATTGTTGATGGAAGGATTTGGTAGACCCACCTGTTTTGATCCCCATTTGATAAGATTCAAGAGCTCTGCGAGGTAGGCTTTTGGGCGGCTTTGGACCCCTCCAATTGCCTTGAAAAAATCCCACCACACATTAGCAAGGAAAACTTGAAGAATCCCCAAATCGCAGCAATGCATGAAGTCCGTTGATATGTGATCAATGGTAAAGCCTGGCCACCGAAAAATTGGGCATACATAGCCATCCTCAGCAGCCTGCTGCACCAGGAAATCAACGTGGGAAAAGCACCGGGACCTCCAAGCCGCATCCATGGTGAAGTCTGTGAACGGGCAATCTGTCACATTGGCAGGGCACCGATAACATACCCGCTTCGATACGCCCTGAGTTGTCCCCCCATCCTGATCCATGGGTGCGTTGTTTTGTAAGTCCATCCTCCAATCTCTATGCTGGACTGCCCAACATAACGATTGGATGATTGAAGATTCCGGGCCGAAGCTGGGGGCGTCACATCCCCTGCGCCGCCTCCTGAGGCTATCGCGCCACCCAAGATCAGATGAGTTGACCCCCCGTCGCCTCCCTTTTCCAGCCTGTGAGGCCCATGATCTGCTTATACCAAGACCAATCACCTGGGGCCAATCGTTTTTTCCCGACCTTCCCGCCTATCATTCTCCTGCCCTCCTCCTTCCCGTTCCCCCATCGCGCATTTGCCCTGTGGGACCTCGTTTCTGTAAGCAGCACCCTTTGATGCGGTACGTCGGATGTTCCAGTGCTTTGCGAGCTCGCTCTCGGTCGCCAGTAAACGTCGACTCTGAAAACTTCGTGCCGTCATGGCGTTTGGTTGGTCTCCGGCCAACTGCCAAAGCTACCAATTGCCACCTCATAACGTCCAAAACCACTTCGAAGGTGTGGCGGCCTGCACATGCAGGGCTGGCAAATGGGCACGCAAACGTGAGCGCAGATGGAAGGAGGAAGAGGAGGAGGTAGAGGGGAAGAGGCTTCCTCCTCTTCCTCTCCTCCACCTATTCCTCCTCCTCCTCCTCCTCCTCCTTCCTCCTCTTCCTCCTCCGTCTCCTCAGGGGGTAGGTTCATGTGCATGCACAGGCGTGTTTGCCACAATGTATGTTCATGTGCAATAGGTGTTGTGTTGTTGCGTAGGTGCCCGTGCATGCACGACGTGGCCACATAAGGGATCGTAAAGATATTGGCGGGTGGAGGCGACGAGAGGACGAAAACAGAAGCGAGCAGGCCTGAACAGCCGCACTGGCAAGCCTGGGCCTTCGTGAACGTCGTGACCCAGAAGCGCTCTCGATGTGACCCTGAAACCGCGTTGAACAAGAAAATGTGCAGACTCTCCCTCTTGCTCATTGGCGCTGAGTCCCCCCAGAAACCCAGGCCTACGTAATCACCAGTGTCCACGCAGTTTGTCTGGTCACACCACTTCTTGAAAGTGTGCTGGAGGTTCAATTGGCGGTTAGAATAACTAGTCCACTCTGCAATCCGCCCTGGCTCTATTACACACTCTAGCACTTCAGCTGGCAAGAGGAAATACAACAATCCCTCGTATGCTTCGTTGCGGCAATTGTCCCAAAATGGTGCTCTAGCAACGTACAGGTTCGGCAGGCGTTTTCCTTGCCTCCGAAGTGCCCCAAGTAGATTTCTCTGGTGATGTCCTTTATTCGCTTTCCCCAGGTCCGAACAGTGAGGGTCAACCGATTTGAAAGCTTGGCACCCCTCTTGAAATTCTTTCGCACTGATGCGACCTTTTTTGTATAAGGTTGCCAGGAATTTCGAAGGCCGATCATCAACTTCTTCAGGCGGGGTCTCCGAAGAGCGTCTGGTCCCACGTACTTGAGCTCGTGGGCCTCAGGGTCAAAACCCCCTCCCCAAACATTCCGGACACATTGGGGGGGGCAACGATGCGCGCCTACACCAGCCAGTGGGGGGATAGAGGGGATCGCGGAGTGGGCAAGTTTTTTTTTGTTTTTTTACATTGGGATGGCCGAACTATTGAGGGTGGGGTAGACGCGCACGTTGACACCCCCAATCGCCCTCTCAAGGAAGGTTTAACCTCAATTCTCAAGGCCTCTGTGGTAAGTTTGAGCTGCAGAATCGTCGCCCATCGCCGCCCCCCAGCAGCAAAACGGCCCCCTGATCGAACCCAAATGCTCGACCAAGGGTTCACTGGCATGGCGAACGATCGACGGTGACTGCGCTCAGCGGCCACAGAGGGCTTAGCCAAACCTAGCTCACAGTCAAAACACCCCACACGCATGACTGTGCCCACTCTGGCTGAGACGCCAACGAGTTGCTGGCCTCCAGCCAACGCCGAGGGGGGATAAGGGACGAGGGAGGGCTTCGCTGAAGGAAGGGTGACCTCCGAGGGCTTCTTAGAAGCCCTGGTGGGGCTTCGAAACGGGGTTCTCTAAGAAGAATCTTTCCTTCGGCGAAATCCTGCCCCGTCCACTTGCTTCACCTGGCGCGGAAACCACCGACGCCGTCGCCGATGAGGGCGATCAGCACTTCGAGAAGTCCATGAGGACATCCTTGCAGAAGACCTCAGGGCAATGCGAGGCGACGCTTAACAAAACAAGGTGCAGCTCAAAGATATTACCACTAGCAGGAGGGGGTGGGGGAGCGAGAAGGAGGAGGAGGGGGAGGAGGAGGAGGAGGAGGAGGAGGAGGAGAAGGAGGAGGAGGAGGAGGAGGAGGAGGAGGGATCGCCTAAGCCCTTCGGCTGGATCGGGACCCCCTACCCACGTGGTTTTCAATGACAGTTAGCTTAACGCATGCCGGCAGGGCGCGTCAGCGCATATTTGGTGATATGCATGTGTAGGAGTATGTCTGGGCACAGGCCACCTTGTAGGAATTTGCCCTGGCCAAGCGGGAGGCCTCCAGGTCGTCAATTGTCTCGAGGAAGGCAGCCCTGCTCTCAGGGGTCAGATCCACGGGGGCCTCCACGGCACAAGCGGTGACATATTCTTGAAAGAGCTCCTCAAGAGCGGCCAGCTGCTCGTCAGCCTTCTGCTGGAGGAATACGGCAGCGCGCGGGCCCCACGCGGGCTTCTTCTCGATGCGGGCCTCGAGGTGGGCCCACAATGCTCGAGAGGACGGTTTGGACAGGATCATCCTATCCAAACCATCCCCATCCTATTAGGATGGGGATGGCATCGGGCAAAAGAGCAAGGAGCAGACAGAGAAGGCAGAGCGAGAGTGAGGAGAATTAAATTTGCAGATGTGTTGCATGCATTGTGAATTCATACACTGTGACAGCCTCCTTCTCCTCCTCCTCCTTCTCCTCCTTTCCTCCCCCTCCTCCTGCTACTCATCCTCCTCCTCCACCTCCTACTCCTTCTCCTTCTCCTCCTCTCCTCCTCTCCTCCTCTCCTCCTCTTCTCCTCCTCCTCCTCCTCCACCTCTACCCTCTCCTCCTCCCTCCTCCTCCTCTCTCCTCCTCCTTCTCCTCCTCGTACTCCTCCCCTCGTCTCTTCACGGCTCAAACTTGTTCAATGCCCTGCGGCATGCCTTCAAGACGCTGACCTCCTTGAGCTCCGTCCGCGTCTTGTTGATGAACGTCTTGCACTCCTTCACCCTGGCCTGCTTGATGCGGAGCAGCTCAGCCTGGTCGGCGCCCTCCGACAGGGTGGCGGTCCTGTCGTCCTCGCCAGAGATCTCGCGCTTGATGTTGATGACGCCCTTCTTGGTGTCTGCAGCTCCACTCGCCGCAGCCTTGCCCTCAGACGCGGCCTGGGGCTCCTCAGCAAGCACCGTCTTCTTGCCCGTGACCCTGCGCCGTGCTGGGCTGGCGTCGCTCGGCGGGGGACCGCCCTCTGTCGGCCTCGGGCTGGCCCTCGGAGTTGCCGGCTCGCTCTCGCTGGGCGCAGCGCTGCGGTCGATGGGCAAAGGAGTGGCCGCCACAGGCGTGGCGCGAGCTTTGCCTGATGAGCCAGCCTGCATGGTCGCCTGCGCCACCCTGTAATCATCCGCGTTGATGTCAGCGTCCGCCTCGACCACGTGCTCGCGCCTGTTGCCGGTGCGCTTGTGGCGCTTGTCGGTAACGATCTTGTACTGCATGACGCCAGCATCCCGGAGCCTCTTGGACTGCTTGTGCGGGCGCGAGTCGAAGTCTAGCACGGCCAAGCGAGCGTTCTCCATATTGTTGATGCCCTTGGGACCTCCGTACTCATCAACTGTCATCCACTGCTCCTCGTCGGAGCTGAAGGCCTCGTCGATCGCGGTGTCCTTGTCCATGGCCCTGAGCTTAGCACACGTCGGATCCAAGATGAAGTTAGCCAGCCATTTGCGGCGTTGCTCGTCGGATCCAGGACCTTTCACCGTGCCATACTTCTCCTCGGAGGATCAAGTTGGCCATTTTGGTCATCAACCGACGCCGAGGCAGGCAGGAGTCAAGCACAGTTCGGGATGTGCCAGCGTTGACTGCAGGGCCGAGAAATGATTGCATGCTTGTCCCCATCCAGCCACAGGGTCAGATTGATGATCGATTTGGCCAAGTTGATCCTTCAGGTCGCTTGGTAAACGGCGGCGCAGCTCCTGGAACGCAACGGCTCTGTCCTTCGAGCTCAGCTTCTTGAGCCCGTCCTCGTCCATGGCGAGGCCCATGGATTTCATTTTCATTTCCAGGTCCGCGAGGGGCTTGGGCAGCTTGGGCGGGGTCTCAAGCGCCGAGGGTGCCGACGTGGCCTGTAGGCCGTGGGAATTCATTATTCCTCCTCCTCCCCTCCTCCTCCTCCTCCTCCTCCTCCTCATCCTGACTCTCATCCTGACTCTCATCCTCTGCCTCGCCCTGGAACCTCTGCCACCTTCTCTGTCTTGGCCCTGGGGAGGGTCTCCTCCTCGGTCCTCCGCCACCTCCTTCCACCACCACCACCACCACCACCATCGCCAGCAGCAGCACCACCACCGCCACCAGCACCACCACCGCCAACAGCACCACCACCACCACCACCACCGCCAACAGCACCACCACCACCACCACCACCCAACCACCACCGCCCACTCACCCACCACCACCACCATACCACCACCACCACCACCCACCAACATCACCACCACCCTTTTCTCTCCCACCACCACTCACCACGCACCGTGTAGCCTCCGCCCTCCGCATCCTCCAAGACCACCTCCACCACCTCTCCCAGAAGATCCATTGAAGGAGAGATATCGGAATCTGTTCACGCGCCCTCGCCAGCCTGCAAGCTGCGCGTCGGATTCCTCGCGGTCGTGCGGCGCCAGCCCCCGCGTCTCTCACACGGCTTCGGGCCATATTGCACGCCGGCGAGAGGGCTCGGGGATCTGGGCACAGGGGGGGTCAGGGCGAGGAGGAGGAAGAGGAGGAGGACGAGGAGG